GTATAAAAGCAGCTGGTTTTGGTTGTCAGCAGCAAACTGGTTGATCCACTCTGAGAAGGTGCTATTTAATGGACTGAGCTGAATACAGCACCTCAGACTGAGGAAGTCTCTCGGATGAAAGACGAAACGTTTCTACATTTTTTTTGCTTTGTTTTTTTGAATGTCCGGAGGACCAGATTTAATTTTTTGGGATTTTTCTACCTGGATTATTGAGCATGCATTAGGATATAAAAACTTCTATTTGCAGCAGAAATATTTTTATTCAAGGAAAAAAAAAAAGGTTATTCCAAAGCCTTTCTTCAATAAAGATGCACAAATTTAGGAAATTAGGAATGTTTCCAGCAATTAACAACAGTGAGAAGGGATGTGTCTAACTCCTGGATGGTTCTCGCTACACAAAAGAAGGCACTGATGGCCTCCACGTTTTTAGGCATGAATAACAACTCCATCAGCTGTTAGGTTACTGTCTGCTCCCAGACACAATTTCAGCATTCTTCTCTTTCCTCACGTCTTTAAGAGGGAACACGGTCGCTGCTCCTCACTCAGAGAAACAGTCCGGATAATAAAATCCCAATTAATCCACAGAAAGTCCTGAAGACTGAATAAATCCACTCCATCAGACAGCCCACAGAGTGTCAATCATTGTAGAATAAAACATTAAAGCTAGAGAATGATGAGTTTAAAGTGTTTGCTTTAAAACTGAAACAACGATATCACCTGTCAGCTGTTTAGTCTTGAATAAACCAACAGTAAACACTTATTTATACATCCTGATGTTTTTTACATCCAAAGCGAAATCAAAACACCCAGCTTTGTTTTATACAGAATAATGTTCTAAATGTCTGACACATGGATAAACGGTATTTATTTTAGCTGGAATCCAAGATCTGCAGTTTGAAACCTTTGAACCGACCGTATGTCAACCTGCCATAAGTGAGTGAAGGGATAATTACACTACATCAGGTACAAATGAGCTCAGCAACTTTCCAACTCACGATCACATCCACGCAGAGCCGATAAGGACGAGGCAGTTACTGTCCCAGCTCACCATAAACACCGCAGACTTTGGATGGTGGGTTATCTCTGGCTGGGCTGGACCGATCTCCCAGCAACACCAAAACTTCACAAACACACACTGAAATGTTACTGCATATAATTAAATTCACACATCGGACAGAACCAAGAGAGAGGAGGGAATTAATGAAAACATCTGCAGCCAGCAAACTCCAGCCATTTCATCACTCACATCAGTCTGTGACTCTGTCAATACTAAGGATGAGTGTGTGTGGCTGCACACAACACGTGCTGGAGGCAGAAGAAGCCCAAAGATTGTGGTAATGTCATGTAGATTCTGCAGAACAATTCAAAAATCTGATTCACCAAATATTTTAAATCTTAACTTTAGTAAACAGCAACGCTAACGTTTGACTGCAGGACCAAACATCTGCATAAGTGACAAGGACAGAATATTTCTGAACAAAAATAAGCTCTGCTCAGGAGAATGACCCTATAAAGTACCAAATAACACACAGCTGACTGTGCATGTTGATGGTGCATGTTGACTGTCATGGTGAGGAGCAGCAGAGTGGGTCAGTACCTGCAGGAGGTCAAACTTGAAGCCGTTAGTAAGAGCGCTGCATCTCGGGCCTAGCAGCGCCTTAGCATCCTAACGTTAGCTAGCAACGTTAGCTTCCCGCACTAAGCATCACATGGTCGGCTGTTATCCGCCTCCACGGGATGCACAAAAACACCCAATATTTAATTTGTGGAGATGAGACAGTATTTTTACTCAAGTTAGAGGGTTCACATCAGAAAACGGGATTCTGGAGTGTTGCTAGCTAACGTTAGCGGCGCGGCTAACGCGGGTTAGCTTAGGTGGAGCTTTGTGTGCAGCCCGCAGAAGCAGAGCGAGAAGCTGCTCGGTGACATAAAATATCTTCCCAGCGTTCAAATATGTGGGACATTGAATGCGTCACATCCAAAGTGAAGTGTGTGCCGTTAAGGTAACATTACCTGGGCGGGCTCGGGCGATCACCCATCATCCCAGATGTAAATACAGGGACGGCGCTAATGCTAACGTTAGCTCGCAGACTGACAGAGCCACTGGGCTGGGAGACGCACACCGTCCCGAGTCCCGGTCCAGACAAGAAGGTGCAGCCGAGAGGGTGGCTGTGAGCTGTCCAGCCGTTGTACTTTACCTTGAGCCTGTGCGGTTCGGAGAGAGCGGTGAAAGGTTCTCCTATGTTCGGACAGTTCTGTTCGGCGTGAACAGCTTCAGCAGCAAAATGGGCCTCAAACAGCCAAACCCACAAGAACCTTTTCCTTCCAAGCGAATAATCCTCAAACTCCCGGTAAGAACCGAACGCGTCTCTGTAACACCGCAGGATTCGCGACTTTACATTCCTGTTTCCGGTGGATCTCTCCGTCCTCGTCCGACCCCTGGATGCTGCTGTTGTCCGTAACTCGGGTTGGCGATTCGGGGCTGTTTCTTTTCAGCCTTTTGTCAACACTGTTGGGTCGAGACCATGGCTGGCACACATAACACAAAACGCACTGTAGCGTGCTGGACTGGGCCCGGGGCGAAGAACGACGCTGATTGGCTGTCGCGAGCACAAACGAAGGCTGTGATTGGACGGAGCGGCCTGTCAATCAGCGCGGAGGAAAACGAGGCTCTGAGCTCGTTAGGTGGAGGAGAAGGGGAGCGACCGGGCAGAAAACCGAACGAGTCCCGGGAATGAGGTCCGACCTGTCCGAGGCCCGGCCCAGCGCGGCCGAACTCCGTCTGCTCCTGTCACCGAGGGTTTTAACGTAAATCCAGGCAAAGCTGGCCCGACTGCTGCAGAAGTTACATAACGGCTCCTACCTTTTCTGCCATTAATGCTCAGGCTCTTTACATTATTGCCCGCCATGACACAGCCTGTGCCTGATGGTGTTTATAGCACCACTGCCTTCACTCAGCTTGAATTATTTTACCATCAAGGTCAGTGCCCTAATATAAAGATAAAAAATACAAGTGTTGACTGATAAATATTTTAAATGTTTATTTACAGCACATAAGATAAAAAAAAAACAATTGATCACAAAGTTAAGTATATTTTTATTCTCCAAATTGAATTTAAAAACCTGACATTCCTTGAATGCATATCACCCACCGCGCTTCAAACCTGTTTTAAACCATCTTCATCCAGTCTGTGCAGTTTAGCATTTTATTTATTATTTAGCCTTAAAACAGCTCAGCCCCAGAATCAAATTAAAATGACTAAAGTGTAGAAAATATTGTTCCAACTGGTTGTGAAACGATGACGTCAGAGCCACATTTTATCTGTTAGTGCTCAGAGGGTGTGTTGGGATGACTCTCAGCTACTACCACAGCTGAGCTCAGCCCAACGTCTTTAAAACTGACTGAGCTACTGCCATGTTTGTGTTGCTAACGTTGATTAGCCTCAGCAGCCATCTTGATTTGAATCAACTTCATTTATCAGCTGCAGACGGACATTTGATGATTACGCTTTAAAATCTGTCAGGTTTTTCACGAGATATTTTGCTAACAGACAAGTGTGCACCCAGACACAGGTAAAAACATGATCACCTGCCTTTTTCCCCTGACAGTGGTGGGTGATCCTAACCATGACACCTGTTAAATCACGAGTCACCGTTTATTGTCTGAACGCTGAGTCAGCATTCACTCGCTGTTCTTCTGGACTCCACAGACATCGAAGAAGTTCAGCTGGCTCGGTTATTTTAGCTGTTCATACATCCGAATGTTCAGCTTGTTCGGGAGATGGCTGATTCAGCTCCGTGTGTGGGTTGGCTCCCTCTAAACTTCAACGTTCTCCTTTCAGGAGAACCAAACAGTCCAACATGATCAGAAGTCAGACAGGGTAGACGGTTTGAAGGGGCGTGAAGGAAGATGTTTACATTAAACAACAATAAACAGAGGAGGAGGTCTCAGACTTCAGCTTTCTAAATCCTACAGAGCAGCACGAAGACTGATCCCAGGTCAGTTTCACTGATTCACACCTTCATGCAGGTGACCCAAATATCTCTGTGAGCCAGGCTAACAAAGACCCTGATGACCCTCAGGAGGGAGGGGAGGGAGACAAAGACCTGATGACCCTCAGGAGGGAAGGGAGGGAGACAAAGACCTGATGGCCCTCAGGAGGGAGACAAAGACCTGATGATCCTCAGGAGGGAGGGAAACAAAGACCTGAAGACACTCGGTAGAGAGACAAAGACCCTGATGATCCTCAGGAGGGAGAGAGACAAAGACCCTGATGATCCTCAGTAGGGAGGG